ACCACCTCTCAGGGGGCTGAGAGCACTAAGGGTATTTATGTAAAGACTATTCATGTCTTCTCTCTGACTCCTGAAGACAGCCTGGTGCTTGCTGAGGCACAGCGAGCCATTGGGACCTACCAGGTGGGCCGAGTTTCCTTCGTCTACCCTAGATACTTAAGTTCCCCAGGACAATGAGCACAGGAAGCCCCTGATGACTGCTGGGAATAGAATAAAGGTATGTGTCCTCTATTGCCAGAGACCTCCTGCCTTCCTACCCTCCTGCCTGCCCTCTGGTAGCCCACAAGGTTCTTATGGGACAGAGTCTACGCTTTTGGCCTAAGTGTAAGGCTTCTTGGCACGAACGATTCAATGAACAAGTCTCTGCACAGTTGTGTACTGGACAAGTAAGAAGTAAGGCCAACGAAGGGGCTGCTGCACCCCCTCCCCTATTATGAACGAACCTGTTGCCACAGCACACAAGAAACATGAAACCTCAAGCTGCAGGCCTTCTCTGGGCAGGTACACATGTGTCACAGCTCATGTCTGGAGGTCAGAGGACAACCTTGGATGTCAGCTTAGTCTTCCACCTTATTTGCTGCAGGATCACTTGCTTATGCTACATACAGCAGGTGAGGTGGCCTACCAGCTTCTTGAACTTTCCTGTCTTCTCCTCCTGTCTTTCCCTATGAGCAATGGGATTGCAGATGCCTGCTGTCATGTTCAGTTTTATGTGGGTGCTGGAGATTTAAACTCAGGTCCTCACACTTGTGTGGCAAGCACTTGACACACTGAGGAATCTCCCTAAGCTGGGCTCCTTCCTTTACCCTCAAAAGACACTTGGCCTGACAACCAAAGATTCAGTGTTCCCTCCTTTCCATGCCTCTGGGAGTTTATACCTCATTCTTCTTGCTGAAGAGGGGCTTGCACAAGGCTCTTTGGCTGTGCCCTGGGTAAGAGAGAAGATGATACCTTTGGACTAAGCCTTGCCAGCTACATGGCCTTGCTGATCACCTCTGAGTGTTGGTGCTTTACTATATTAAATGAAAATAGTAAAACATACAGCAGAAGGTTGGGGGTAGCTCAGTGGCAGAATACTTGCTTAGCATGCTCAAGGTCCTGGGTTCAAATCTCAGTACTATGCAAAAACAAAACTTAAAAAACAAAACTAAATAGACATGCACCCTCTCTCATTGAGGTTAAGCATGAAGATAGCACTTGACCATACACAGTAGTGTGGGATAGCCAGTAGGGAAACTGCTTTATTTCATGAAGTAGGTCAACTATCTTAGGGTGGTTTGCAGATGGATATATAGCCCCTTCACTTATACATGGTTATCATAGCAGAGGCTCTTGGGTAGTTTGCCTTAGGTACAAACAAACTGTCTGGTTTGTTTCTCCTCTCCATGCCTCAGTTTTCTTTCCTGTAAAATGGGCCAGGATCTGTTTAACTGTTGGTAAGAGTCCAAAGAGATGATTGGTTCTTGGAATGCCTCATTTAACTTGACCTGGCTGGAGAAGCATCAGGAAATATTTGGAAGTGGATTGAAAAGGAGGCGGGGAGACAAACATGACTCAGTGTTCTCTCCTTTTATGGGCTGGCACTCAGACCATGGCTTCCTGGAGGCTGTATTCCAAACTGTGCCCTGATGAATGTGAGGCCTACATGCCCAAAAGCCCCCACAGACCCCCCAGATATCACCCTGCCGGCTGGACTGGTTTTTACCTTGCTATTTTAAGCAGTGAATTTATAATAATGGGTGGGAAAGCACATGGAGCCTGAGCAGCATGGGAATGACCTGCAGCAGGGCCGCAGAGGCTCCCCAGGAGCTGCACAGACTCCATCTTGTTCAGCCATGGAACTGCAGCCACCCTCCATCCTGCTGCAGCCAGCATCTCCAAGTCTGTCTGACCTGGTTCATGAGGCTTTGTTTCTGCCCCGGGGGCTGGCAGAGGTCTGTCTCTAAGAGAGGACTGTTAGAAATGGGATATTTCTGGAATGGCTTTATAATCCTAGGATCTCAGAATGAACCCTAGGCTGGGAGCATCCTAGTAGCTGGTTGTGACTAGATAGAGTCTGGGACTTCTTGAGTTGGAAAAGGCCACTGCCAAGCTTGGAATTCCCACGACCCTTGAGCCAGTCAGTATTGAAAGTCCCCCAGGCACAGGAAACTCTTGACCTTGGTGAGCATTATCCTCCATCTTTAGCTGGCTCCAGACTCTAGGAAAGGTTCCTCTGCCTTTTAACTTGGCTGTTGAGTCCTTGGCCATACACCTGTCATCTGGAGACCCCAGGGTCACATGACTACCTTTTAGATATCTGAGAAGAGATCGATTTCCCTTATAGCTTTTCTGGCCCAGGCTGAAGTCTTGAGTTCTTAAATACAAATTCTTGTCCTCCTGGAATCTTCTCTCTTCTGTTTGTCTGAATCTTTGTTTTACAGTACACAATATGTTTTGTGTAGATTAAGACACAAACGGAAAGTGGAATGACTGTCCCCCATACTTTGGAAACTGTTCCTATTGAGATAGGTTGAACTTGCAGGGGTGAGGCCATGATGTTCCCTGGGAAGGGTGAGCCAACTATTCCCATAACAACACAGTCCCCTCAGCACTACTGATGCCATTGCTGATGATCCTGGTGTCTAAGTAAAGATGATAAAGTTATCCAGAGAGCTCACTTTTTGGGGAATCCGATGTTTACTTCTTCATCTAGTCATCTCTGAGGACGGAAGACACAGCGGTCCTGGACCCACGGCTTTTAGACTCTAAAGTCAAGATAAAGCTGTTTGGAGGCCAGCACAGCATGGCTTCTTCCCTGCCAGCTCATCTACCCTGCTCAGCCCCAGGCTATTCTGCAAATAGATAAGTTCCATTCGCATTTCTGTGTTATGGCTCAGCTCAAACAGCCCTTGTGACATAGAGCCATCACTAAACCAGTTCCGTTCCCAGTCTGCATAGTTAGGGGCTCTTTCTTATCATTCTTCATTTTGAAGTGTTTATGACAATCACGGTTTTCAGTTGCCTACCAACACTGGACTCAAGACCCCAAAACTATATACTCCTTTCTCTTTGCGTCGCAACACAGGTCACAGGCCTAGCATAAAAAGTTTGTTTGTGAAGAAAGAATGAATGCTTCATGCAGACATGGTGGCACATGCCTGGAATCCTAGCACTTGGGATGTGGAGAAAAGAGAACCAGCCAGCCTCAGCTATACAATGAGTTCAAAGTCAACCTAGTTTCGGCTGTCTTAAACCATTTTAAAAAAGAGATTCAGTGCATGTGTAGATGGACTTTTCTTTTTGGGCCTCCAGCTCACAAAAAATGACACAGACTTATTACTAATTATGAAAGCTTGGCCTTAGCTTAGGCTTGTTTCTGACTAGCTTTTATAGCTTAAATTAACCCATATTTTTAAAACTATGTTCTTCCACATACTCGTTAACTCATCTCTTTTCTGCCTATCCTGGTTCTTCTGCATCTGGCTGGCCACTCCACTTTTTCTGTCCAGAAGTGCTTCTTGTCTAGCTATTGGCCATTTACCTTTTTATTAAACCAATCACAGTGACACATTTTCACACAGTGTAAAGGAATATTCCACAACATGAATGGCCTAGTTGAGATGAGATTTCCAAGATGACCAGCAGGGGTCACCCCAAATGCCTCAATGCTGAATGGGCCTATTGGGGTAAAAAACAAAAGTTAAGACAGTGCCCCCTTTGACAGCTCCAGGACTAAATGTGTCCAATTCTTTAAATACAAATGTGGTTCAACTTCTTTAAACCACCATTTTTCTCTACCCTGTTGTGTTTTATGTTTTTATTTTAGAAACACTCTTATTTACATATCCATCCCCCCATTCCCTTGCCCTCTCATCCTCCCATGCCCCCCCACCAGCCTCCCAACCTACCCCCCACCCACTCCCCAGGGATAGTAAGACCCTCCACGGGGATCATCATTTGGGAGAGAGTCCAGGCCCTCCTCCATGTATCCGGGCTGCAGTAGTATCCCTCCTTAGGGAATGGGCTCCCAAAGTCCATTTGTGCTCTAGGGATAAACTCTGACTCCAGTGTTAGAGATCCCATAGACTGCCTAGGCCTCCTAGCTGGCACCCACATTCAGAGGGCTTGGTTCAGTCCAATGCTGGTTCCCTAGCTCTCACTAGGTCAGTAAACCACCATTTTTGATGGATCTTTTGAATATTCATAATAAATCAGACACCTTCCATGCCTTGGAGAGCTGGGCCCAGAGGATGATGCCAGGTATCAGCCTGGTTTGCAGTGCTCTGGTTTAGGGAACTTTCCAGGCCGTCTCTGTGGGACAGGAAGGATATCTTTTGTCATGGGAAGCAGCAGAGCTTTCTGGCTTTTCAGAAAGGCTCTAGTCAGCAGCCACTTATCTAGAGAGTATGATACAGAGTTACTCAGTGAAATGGCATTGTCTTCTGTTCTCCCTATGGGTAGGAGGTGGACCACAGGAAAGGATGTGGGTTGTAATGGGAAGAGGCATGGACACCAATCAAGAAGCCCTGGGTGCAAACACTTAGTTTTCTGTGTGACTCAGGACAAGTGGCTCCCACCCTGAGAGGCTCTTCCCTCACCTACAGAATGGGACTATTGATGCCTACCGTTGTCCAAGGCCGTCTCGAGGAGTCAGTTTGCTAATGGTAGTCATGTAGCCACCAGAAGCTCAGTAGATGGCATACAGATGGTATCTGATCTCAGTGACATATCCTCCCTCAGCTGTAGCTTTGAGGAGATGAAATGTTCCTCTTCTGGAATAGATGTGTTTACTGTAAGGACCAAATTAGATGCAAAAGGTCACTCCTGCCTGTGTAAACAAAGCCAGAGAGCAGGAGGCAATGCAACTCCCAATGCCTGCTCCCAGCCTCGCCTCGACTGACCTCTGGTGTTGATGTAAAACCAAGCAGCCGATCTGTGGCTCTTGGATCCTGGAAATGGAGCCTAGCTTGGGACAGGGATGGGAAGGATCTTGACTTGTCCTTTTGGCATCTCCCCAGCCTGCAGAGCCCAAGCCTCTTGGAGCGTCTTTGGGGTTGACACAGCAGAGGTTCCGGGCACACACAGCCACTCCAGCCAGGAGGCTGCCATGCCCCACATTCCTGAGGATGAGGAGCCCCCTGGAGAGCCACAGGCAGCCCAGACCCAAGTAAGTGCCCCTTCCTGCCCATGGTTAGCCTGGCTGGGGGCCAAGCTAAGCATGCTGGGCTGAGGCCACCACTTTAAAGCTGGTCACAGAGTGCTCCAACAGCGTTGCAGGCTGCAGTGGGTGTCGGGGAAGGTGTGTGGCTTTCACTCTGGAGAACATGCTACCCTGAGTTCACTTAAGTGGCCAGGGTCCCAAGAATCCTGAGTGTGGCACTATCTAAACAGCATATGACAAAGGCTTCATGAGATTTCAAACCACCGTGGCCCAGAATGCTCCCTTCTACGCTTGAGAAAGATATAGAAAAGACAGGGTAGTGGACATAGCCAAAGGCCACTTGGAAATAATCTGCTTCAAATGAATATCAAAAGTTCATAGTAAAGGGTAGGAAAGGGTTTCAGTACAAGTTGATAATAGAATAGAAAATGATTTTTAAAATGTTTATTATGAGTATTTTCATTAAGGCAGGCATGGTGACTTATCCCTGTTGTCCCAGCCTCCAGGAAACTGAGGTAGTCACTATGAGTTCCAGACTAGCTTAGGCTACAGACTGAGACCCTATCTCAGAAAAACAAAACAAAACAAAAACCCAGACATAACAAAAGCAATGGCAATATCAAAGAAGGTATCACCCAAGTTTTATTTTGCAAATGAAGTTAAGAAAAGCTATTTTTAGCTATATATAATCATAAAGTATCAGTTAAATGTTAATTTTCAAATTGAACAAAGAATCAACTGTCTTGGTGTTGATAAGTAATTATTTGTTTTCTTTTTAAATTTTTGTATATGTAGTGTATGCACATGTTTTCATGTACGTGGAAGCCAGAGGCTGATGTTGAGTGTCTTCTATTATTTTCTACTTTATTTTTTTTGAGGCAGAGTCTCTCCCTGAACCTGGAGGTCATTAATTCAATAAAACTGGCTAAGCAGAAAACGCTATCTGTTTCCCATGCTACCCCTAGTCTTTTTTTTTTTTAAAACGTGGGTGCTAGAGATACAAACTCAAATTCTCATGCTTGTATGGTAGGGACTTTCTGATTGGGCCATCTCCACAGGCTCTGCTTATTTTTTTCTATCAATCAAACAATGTGTTCACATAATACTACATTCCTCATACTTTATTTTATTTTATAGCAACTCCATCAGAAGAATGTTTAAAATGTGAGGCCATGCATTTCCCCAAAACACTGAAGCCATTCCCTTCTAAAGAACCTATCTTACCCATAGTACTCATTTTTTCTTTATCTGGTCACTTGCCCCGCTCCATCTGATCCTCCTAGATTCAGGCCTTGCTTATGAAGGTCACCATCACCATTTTCTTTGACTTGAACATCACCGTTGGTTTGCACTGAACTTGTGCTATGCTCTTGTATCTGACTATGGCCCATACTAATCGGAGCCAGACAACACAGGCTTAATAAGTGAGAGAAGAGTATGTGAGTGAGCATCATTTTTCCAGATGGACAGATTCCTAGTGAATATTTTCATGTTGTGATGACATTTGTTTTCTTACATGTTATAACCGTGGGAACTAAGATAGCAAATGCTTAGAAATGAATAGTCCCTTGTATCTCCACTTCCCAAGCCCATGAGTTTGAGATGAGAACTTGGCAGCTTAGGGGTCTAAAAAAGAAAATAGTGAGCCAAGTTCACATTTCTTTGTCTGCAGACCATAGCTCAAGGTTCTAGGGAATGCTCCACACCCTACTATGGCATCTAGGACCATAGTAGGCACTGTTCACCAGCCACCCTCAAGGTGGCTGAGGTCTGGGAGCTTGGGGAGAATGAAAACTGAGTGACCACGGAAGGCAAACACTGGTGAGTGAATTCAAGTGTGACTTCTCCCCATCCTCCACTAGTTTTCTTCACTCCTGTACTTCTCTCATAGTGGTCATCTCTGGCCCCCACTTCACTAACCATGGTAACATACTGAACTCACATTCACCTGGATCCCAAATGTTGGCAGTTTCCCCAAACAGTTAACCCAAGAATAAGTGTGGCAGTCTCTGTGGCCCCACAGCCAACAGAGTAACTAACAGTCTGTGGGAGGCAAGAAGGTAGTTTGGTGCAACATGACCAAGTAGCTGGTGTTGGCTCAAACTTTGGAAGTCTGACCCTGAGTAGTTTAGTTTTCTTAGGCATGTTTAAACACAGAATAATTTGGCAAAAACTTTCCTGGTGATAATTAACTCAGTCTCATGTGCAAAATAAAGTACAAATTAAGCTAAAGATCAGACATGACTACATCAAAACTTTGTAAAACACCACCCATAAAAATGGGTTCTATAGATTAAGACAAACAAGCTTACAATAAGGGTCTAGGGGAGATTCTGATGTGGTCTCAGCCACACATATAGCACAAAGGTCACCAGCCTATTAACCACCTACTCTCCCAGCCTTTTGTTTGGATAATAGGTTATGCATCTCTTCCTTCGAAGGAACAACCTTGTGTATTTATCATTCCAGGTCCCCCTAGTGCTTGTCTATGAGCATCCTACAAATAAAAGCACCCCAATGCAAGTATAATAAAAGATCAGCAAAGATACAGTTTCTTCCCTTGTAAAGCCAGAGTCCCATGCTTCCTACATCTGTAGCTCTCAGTGTTTAAGAGAGGGTGCTGCTCTTGTAGAGGACCTGAGTTCAGTTCTCAGTACCCACCCACAACTGCCTGCAGGAGTCCTGCCCCCCCACAAACACATGTAAATCTTTTTTAAAAAGTGGTTTAAAACCTTATCCTCACAAGACAGCAAAAGCTACTCTCCTTCTTGTGGCTGTCAGCTGCTTGTAGGTCCAGCTACATGAGGGCCAGGGTCTAGGTGAAGGTGAGCTTCTTAGTGACACAGTATGGGAGGAATCCATGAGTTAGCTGTAGAGACAAGGGTTAAAAACCTTGATTGGCCAGTGGGAGTTAAATGCCAGTTCCCCCAAGCTAGCCCTCCTGTGACCTGGAGCCGGAATAATGGGGTGGTGGTCTCTGAGACTTTCCACCAGCCTTGGTTCTGACTCTGGGCTTGTAGGAATCTGGGGCTATCCTGAAGATGTCTGCAAGTTCCAGTGGCTGAGGCAGGGCCAGCACCTGGAATAGGATGGTGAGGGACTCAAGCCACCTAGGATCCAGGAGGTCCAGGTCCTCAGAGAAGACAGAGAACAAGGTTTAAAACTATGACCTCTGTGGTCAGACCCCATGGGCTCTGCATCCCAGCTCCTCCACATCTTCATCCAGAGGCCTGGGAGCCCATTAGATTTTTCATCCCTATGGTTCCCAACAAGTATAGCTGTTGCCACTTCCGTTCCGCCTGGTTAGCTCAGTCCTGTGGCAGTTTAGATCCTTAAACAGAGGTTCAAGGTCCACATGAGAGTCAACATTCTTTTACTTTCAGGTCTGACTACCAGGCTCTGGGCCACTCTGAGTTCTCCAGAAGCCAGATATGCATGGTTTATAAGCAGTTTCTGCCCACACTGAGTGCCTGACACAGCGCAGCCTCAGGGGAGGTTCAGATATCCCAAGCTAGCTGGGGCCTCCAGGGGCAGAAGCCTGGCTCCCAGGGAGCACAAAAGCCAGGCAGGCAGGAAAGCGAGGCTGCCCAGGGTTCAGCCGGAAGCCAGTCTGTGTGAATTCCCACTCTGCAAAGCAGGAAGGAGCAGAGCTTCCCTTGGAGCTTATAGCTCCCCGGGGTCCAGTCCTAGTTTTGAATACTCAGGTCTCAACCCTCCATTTCCCACCACTAGCCTGAATCCTCACAACAAAAACACTGAAGTTGGAGGACTAAATTGTCCTCTGCCCTGAAACTGTTAATTGGAAGCTGTAAACAATCCCTACAGTGAAGCAAAGGCTTCCAGCAATGACTCTGCAGTGTGTTCTCAGCAGTTTGCATTCTGTGGGGCCCAGGCGCAGGGATTCTGACTGAATTGAAGCTGTCAGGACACCTGCCTGGGACGTTTAGGGACCACAGAATGACAGATTGTCAGCTGGAAGGATCCTAGATCACATATGTCTCAGTTTGCTTTCTGTTGCTGGGATAAACACCATGACCAAAGTAACTTGGTGAGGGAAGGCTTTATTTTATCGTATACTTCCAAGTATCAGCTCATTACTGAAGGAAGTCAGGGCAGGAACCTAGAGCAGAAAGTGCAGAGGAAAGCTGGCCCATCTCTTCTTCACTGTGTAGCCGCAGATTCAATGTGGTCAAGTCTTCTCTGATCCCCTGAACTGTGACCAGAAGCCATTTAAGAAGCTGACTCATTGGGATGGCATGGCATCCTCGAGGTGCCTAACACACTTGGGGCACAGGGGCTCATGTCAGTAAAAGCCCGAGTTCTACTTGTCCAAGTCTCCGCCCCTTCCAACCTTGGGTGTTTCTAGAAGCCTCCAGGAGCAGGTCCTGTAGCTCATACACAGACCATCTGCCTTCCTATTGTCAACTTTGACATTCCCTCCTCCTCCTCTCTCTTCCACCTCCCTAACACAAAGCCACTCAATAATAATAGCCAGGTAGGCACCAGACACTATGCAACTGTATTAGTACAGTTCACTTTATATTAAAAAAATTACTCTTTGGAAAAATCTATATGTTTATACAATGTATTTTGGTCCTATCCATCCACCATCACCTCCTTCAGTTATCCATAGTGCCCACCTGTCTCCCTCCCTACTTCATGTTCTTTGTTATTGAGTCTACTTTTTGCTGTGTATTCCATACGCACAAAGAGGCATTGTCAGCCTACCAGCAGCTTCTTTCCTGACAGAGAAGGACCAATTGCCGATAAGGGTAGAGCTGCTAAGGGTAGAGCTGTAGAGTCCCTCTCCAGCCATGTTGAAATTTTGGCTGGCTTGATCTTATGAAGGTCTTGTGCAGGTAAGCACAGTTGCTGTGAGTTAGTGTGTGCAACAGCTGTGTCGTGTCTAGAAGCCAGCATTTTATAGCTCTCCTCCCATCTACTGATTCTTACACTCTTTGTCTCCTATTCTGAAATGCTCCCTGAGCCTCGGATGGTGGGAGGTT